TTTTATGATTTCTTTCCTTCTGCTAACTTTGGGGGTTTTTTTGTTCTTCTTTCTCTAATTGCTTTAGGTGCAAGGTTAGGTTGTTTAGTTTCCTGTTTCTTAAGGTAGGATTGTATTGCTATAATCTTCCCTCTTAGAACTGCTTTTGCTGCATCCCATAGATTTTGAGTCATCGTGTCTCCATTGTCATTTGTTTCTAGGTATTTTTTTGATCTCCTCTTTGATTTCTTCAGTGATCACTTTGTTATTAAGTAGTGTATTGTTTAGCCTCCATGTGTTTGTATTTTTTACAGATCTTTTCCTGTAATTGATATCTAGTCTCATAGCGTTGTGGTCGGAAAAGATACTTGATACAATTTCAATTTTCTTAAATTTACCAAGGCTTGATTTGTGACCCAAGATATGATCTATCCTGGGGAATGTTCCATGAGCACTTGAGAAAAATGTGTATTCTGTTGTTTTTGGATGGAATGTCCTATAAATATCAGTTAAGTCCATCTCGTTTAATGTATTGTTTACAGCTTGTGTTTCCTTATTTATTTTCATTTTGGATGATCTGTCCATTGGTGAAAGTGGGGTGTTGAAGTCCCCTACTATGAATGTGTTACTGTCGATTTCCCCTTTTATGGCTGTTAGTATTTGCCTTATGTATTGAGGTGCTCCTATGTTGGGTGCATAAATATTTACAATTGTTATATCTTCTTCTTGGATCGATCCCTTGATCATTATGTAGTGTCCTTCTTTGTCTCTTTTAATAGTCCTTATTTTAAAGTCTATTTTGTCTGATATGAGAATTGCTACTCCAGCTTTCTTTTGGTTTCCATTTGCATGAAATACCTTTTTCCATCCCCTTACTTTCAGTCTGTATGTGTCTCTAGGTCTGAAGTGGGTCTCTTGTAGACAGCATATATATGGGTCTTGTTTTTGTATCCATTCAGCCAATCTGTGTCTTTTGGTGGGAGCATTTAGTCCATTTACATTTAAAGTAATTATCGATATGTGTGTTCCCATTCCCATTTTCTTAATTGTTTTGGGTTCGTTATTGTAGGTCTTTTCCTTGTTTTGTGTTTCTTGCCTAGAGAAGTTCCTTTAGCAGTTGTTGTAGAGCTGGTTTGGTGGTGCTGAACTCTCTCAGCTTTGCTTGTCTGTAAAGGTTTTAATTTCTCCATCAAATCTGAATGAGATCCTTGCTGGGTAGAGTAATCTTGGTTGCAGGTTTTTCTCCTTCAACACTTTCAATATGTCCTGCCACTCCCTTCTGGCTTGCAGAGTTTCTGCTGAAAGATCAGCTGTTAACCTTATGGGGATTCCCTTGTGTGTTATTTGTTGTTTTTCCCTTGTTGCTTTTAATATGTTTTCTTTGTATTTAATTTTTGACAGTTTGATTAATATGTGTCTTGGCGCATTTCTCCTTGGATTTATCCTGTATGGGACTCTCTGTACTTCCTGGACTTGATTAACTATTTCCTTTCCCATATTAGGGAAGTTTTCAAGTATAATCTCTTCAAATATTTTCTCAGTCCCTTTCTTTTTCTCTTCTTCTTCTGGAACCCCTATAATTCGAATGTTGGTGCGTTTAATGTTGTCCCAGAGGTCTCTGAGACTGTCCTCAGTTCTTTTCATTCTTTTTTCTTTATTCTGCTCTGCAGTAGTTATTTCCACTATTTTATCTTCCAGGTCACTTATCCGTTCTTCTGCCTCAGTTATTCTGCTATTGATCCCATCTAGAGTATTTTTCATTTATTGTGTTGTTCATCATTGTTTGTTTCATCTTTAGTTCTTCTAGGTCCTTGCTAACTGATTCTTGCATTTTGTCTATTCTATTTCCAAGATTTTGGATCATCTTTACTATCATTATTCTGAATTCTTTTTCAGGTAGACTGCCTATTCCTCTTCATTTGTTAGGTCTGGTGGGTTTTTATCTTGCTCCTTCATCTGCTGTGTGTTTTTCTGTCTTTTCATTTTGCTTATCTTACTGTGTTTGGGTTCTCCTTTTTGCAGGCTGAAGGTTTGTAGTTCCTGTTGTTTTTTGTGTCTGTCCCCAGTGGCTAAGGTTGGTTCAGTGGGTTGTGTAGGCTTCCTGGTGGAGGGTACTAGTGCCTGTGTTCTGGTGGATGAGGCTGGATCTTGTCTTTCTGGTGGGCAGGTCCACGTCTGGTGGTGTGTTTTGGGGTGTCTGTAGACTTATTATGATTTTGGGCAGCCTCTCTGCTAATGGGTGTGGTTGTGTTCCTGTCTTGCTAGTTGTTTGGCATAGGATGTCCAGCACTGTAGCTTGCTGGTCGTTGAGTGAATTGGGTGCTGGCGTTGAGATGGAGATCTCTGGGAGATTTTCGCTGTTTGATATTATGTGCAGCTGGGAGGCCTCTTGTGGACCAGTGTCCTGATGTTGGCTCTCCCACCTCAGAGGCACAGCACTAACTCCTGGCTGCAGCACCAAGAGCCTTTCATCCACACTGCTCCTTAATTTGGGATGATTCCTCGTCTATTCATGTATTCCACAGATGCAGGGTACATCAAGTTGATTGTGGAGCTTTAATCCGCTGCTTCTGAGGCTGCTGGGAGAGATTTCCCTTTCTCTTATTTGTTCTCACAGCTCCCAGGGGCTCAGCTTTGGATTTGGCCCCGCCTGTGCGTGTAGGTCGCTGGAGGGCGTCTGTTCTTTGCTCAGACAGGACGGGGTTAAAGGAGCTGCTGATTCGGAGGCTCTGGCTCACTCAGGCCGTGGGTAGGGAGGGTCACGGAGTGTGGGGCGGGCCAGCGTAGGCAGAGGCCGGCATGACATTGCTAGCCTGAGGCTCTCCCAGGGGAGTTGTCCCTGGATCCCGGGACCCTGGCGGGCTGCACAGGCTCCCCGGAAGGGGGTGTGGATAGTGACCTGTGTTCGCACACAGGCTTCTTGGTGGCGGCAGCAGCGGCCTTAGCGTCTCATGTCTGTCTCTGGGCTCCGCACTTTTAGCCGCGGCTCGCGCCCGTCTCTGGAGCTCTCTTAAGCAGCGTTCTTAATCCCCTCTCCTCGTGCACCAGGAAACAAAGAGGGAAGAAAAAGTCTCTTGCCTCTTTGGCAGGTCCAGACCTTTCCGCGGACTCCCTCCTGGCTAGTCGCGGTGCACTAACGCCCTGCAGGCTGTGTTCACGCCGCCAGCCCCAGTCCTCTCCCTGCGCTCCGACTGAAGCCGGAGGCTCAGCTCCCAGCCCCGCCTGCCCCCGCGGGCGAGCAGACAAGCCTCTCGGCTGGTGAGTGCCAGTCGGCCCCAATCCTCTGCGCTGGAATCTCTCCGCTTTGCCCTCCGCACCCCTGTTGCTGTGCTGTCCTCCGCGGCTCCCCCACTCCGCCGTCTCCGCCCGCGAAGGGGCTTCCTAGTGTGTGGACACTTTTCCTCCTTCACAGCTCCCTCCCGCTGGTGCAGGACCCGTCCCTATCCTTTTGTCTCTGTTTATTTTTTTCTTTTGCCCTAACCAGGTACGTGGGGGGTTGTTTGCCTTTTGGGAGGTCTGAGGTCTTCTGCCAGCGTTCAGTAGGTGCTCCGTAGGAGTTGTTCCACGCGTAGATGTATTTCTGGTGTATCTGTGGGGAGGAAGGTGATCTCCGCGTCTTACTCTTTCGCCATCTTCCCGGAAGTCCCATCTGTATGTCTTCTTGGGAGAAATGTCTATTTAGGTCTTCTGCCCATTTTTGGATTGGGTTGTTTGTTTTTTTGATATTGAGCTGCATGAGCTGCTTGTATATTTTGAAGATTAATCCCTTGTTGGTTGCTTCATTTGCAAATATTTTCTCCCATTCTGTGGGTTGTCTTTTCGTTTTGTTTATGGTTTCCTTTGCTGTGCAAAAGCTCTTGAGTTTAATTAGGTCCTTTTTTGTTTTGCTTGCTTGTTTTATTTCCATTATTCTAGGAGACGGATCAAAAAAGATATTGCTGCGATTTATGCCAGAGTGTTCTGCCTATGTTTTCCTCTAAGAGTTTTAGAGTATCAGGCCTTACATTTAGGTCTTTAAACCATTTTGAGTTTATTTTTGTGTATGGTGTTAGGGAGTGTCTAATTTCATTCTTTTACATGTAGCTGTCCCGTTTTCCCAGCACCATTTATTGAAGAGACTGTCTTTTCTCCATTGTATAGTCTTGCCTTGTTTGTCATAGATTAATTGACCATAGGTGTGTGGGTTTTCTATTTCTATTCTGTTTTCTCTGGGCTTTCTATCCTGTTCCATGGATCTATATTTCTGTTTTTGTGCCAGTACCATACTGTTTTGGTTACTGTAGCTCTTTGTAAGTGGTACAGTCTGAAGTCAGGGAGCCTGATTCCTCCAACTCAGTTTTTCTTTCTCAGGATTGCTTTGGCTATTTGGGGTCTTTTGTTTCTCCATATAAATTTTAAAACTTTTTGTTTTAGTTCTCTGAAAAATGCCACTGGTAATTTGATAGAGATTGCATTGAATCTGTAGATTGCTTTGGGTAGTATAGTCATTTTGACAACATTGATTCTTCCATTTCAAGAATATGGTATATCTCTCCATTTGTTTGTGTCACCTTTGATTTCTTTCATCAGCATCATAGTTTTCTGAGTACAGGTCTTTTGTCTCCTTAGGTAGGTTTATTCCTAGGTATTTTGTTCTTTTTGATGCAGTGGTAATTGGGATTATTTCTTTGATTTCTCTTTCTGATCTTTCATTGTTAGCATATAGGAATGCAAGAGATTTCTGTATCCTATGACTTTACCAAATTCATTGATGAGCTCTGGTTGTTTTCTGGTAGCATCTTTAGGGTTTTCTATTTATAGTATCATGTCATCTGCAAACAGTAACAGTTTTACTTCTTTTTCAATTTGGATTCCTTTTATTTCTTTTTCTTCTCTGATTGCCATGGCTAGGACTTCCAAAACTATGTTGAATAATAGTGGTGAGAGTAGACATCCTGTCTTGTTCCTGATCTTAGAGGAAATGCTTTCAGTTTATGGCCTTGATTAGATTGGTTCCCTCTATGCCCACTTTCTGGAGAGTTTTTATCATAAATGGGTGGTGAATTTTGTCAAAAGCTTTTTCTGCATCTATTGAGATGACCATATGATTTTGATTCTTCAATTTGTTGATGTGGTGTACCATACTGATTGATCTGTGTATATCAAAGGAGGTTGGTCCAGGGGCTTAAGCAGGCTTTTTGGTGGGAGGGACTGGTTCCTGCCCACTGGTGGGTGGAGCTGGGTCATGTCCCTCTGGTGGGCAGGGCCGTGTCAGGAGGTATATTTAGCTGGTAGCTGTGTGCTCAGGAAGACTTTAAGCAGCCTGTCTGTTGATGGGTGGGGCTGTGTTCCCACCCCATTGTTTGTTTGGCCGGCAAACAAGGTGTCCCAGCACAGGAGCCTACAGGCTGTTGGGTGGGGCCAGGTCTTGGTGAGAAAATGGCGGGCTCCCAGAGGGCTCATGCCAGTGAGAACTTCCCAGAACTACCACTGCCAGTGTCTTTGTCCCTGCAGTGAGCCACACCCCGCCTTCACAGGAGACCCTCCAATACCAGCAGGTAGGTCTGGCCCAGACTCTTATGAGGTCCCTGCTTTTCTCCCTGGGTCCTAGTCACACAAGACCCTGTGTGTGCCCTCTAAGAGTGGAGTTTGTTTCCTCCCGTCCTGTGGAGCTCCTGTGACAAACCCCAGTGGCCTCAAAGCCAGATTCTCTGGGGGCTCCTCCTCCCATTGCCAGACCCCCAGGCTGGGGAGCTTGATGTGGGGCTCAGAACTTTCACTCCTGTGGGTGAACTTCTGTGACAGAATTATTTTCCAGTTCGTGGGATTTGATTTTATCACAGTTGCACCCCTTCTACCATCTCCTTGTGGCTCTTTGTCTTTGGATGTAGGATCTCTTTTTTGGTAGGTTTCAGCGTTTTTCTTGTCGATGGTTGTTCAGCGGTCATCTGTGATTTTGGTGTTTCGTAAGGGAAGATAAGCTCATGTCCTTCTACTGTGCCATCTTTTCTCCAAGTTTTCATACTGTAATTTTTCTAAGTGGAAACGTTTCTTTGAGGTGGGAATTCAGGAAGGGCCTGGCTGGGCAGTTCTGGCTTGGGGTCTCTTTAAGTGGTTGCAGTGAGACAGTAACTGAAGTGCAAACATTTAGGAGGTTAAAGACCTCTCTGAGGACAGAACTGAGTTGGCTTTTAGTCTGTGAGTCATCCAGGCCCTTGGGCACCCTTCCCCCCACTTACCTCAAAGTAAAAACCATCTTGAGAGTCTTTTCATTTTAAGTGTGATACCTGCACCAACCCAAGCATAAGCAAGAGAAAGGCAAACTGAATAAGACTGCTTAACTGAGTCAACAACTCTTCTGAAGGTTTGTAAGCAGAAACACTGAAACAAAAATAAAAGCTAGGAACCTTTTGGATTGGTCATTGATTTTCTTTCTCAGTACTACTTGTTAGGGGATAATTATCACTCTTGTTGTCTGTACTAACACTGATTCCTATCTTTACAGCGGCATGCTCCCTCACGGCACAAGGTGTTCTCAAGGGAAGCACTCCCTGTTATGATATCGGATACAACGCCTCAACCTGATAAATCTGGACATTCACAGAGGCTTTCAGGATAAAGTGTCTATATCAAATGGCTTCCAGGATGGCCAGGTAAGATAAAGTATCTACCTCAGTGGTTCTCAATCCTGGCTGCACATCACAATCACCTTGGGGAACTTCAAAAAACAAAAATCCCTGAGGCCCAGGATCTCACTCGGAAGTTGCTTCAATTGGTCTGGGATGCCCACCCCACACCAAAGCCCACAAAAGCTAACCAGCAGATTCTCCTTTGTAGCTGGAGCTAAAAGCCAATGGTGTCAGCAACTGAACTTATCTATGAAACAGACTCACAGACGTAGAGAAACAACTTGTGGTTGCCAAGGTGGGGAGGGAAGGATTGGGAGTTTGGGGTCAGCAGATGCAAACTGTTATATATAGGATGGATAACCAACAAGGTCCTACTGCATAGCACAGGGAACTGTATTCAATATCCTGTGATAAACCATAATGGAAAAGAATATGAAAAAGAATATATAACTGAGTCATTTTGGTATACAGCAGAAATGAACACAACACTTTAAATCAAGCATACCAAACTAAATTTTTTAGAAAGCCACTGGTGTCAGGACCATTTTCTTTATGTATAGGCTAAATTGAATTTGAAGAGCTCATGAAATTAACATACCTTCAAGTAATTTTTTCTCAACCATTTCAGGATTCCAGGCATGTAAAAGAGTAAAATGCTCATTTAGAATGGTAGAATGAGAAAACTGAAGAGATAGATTCATCTAAAATGTATCTATCGCTCATTTTTTTTTTTTTTTTTTTGTGGTACGCGGGCCTCTCACTGTTGTGGCCTCTCCCGCTGCAGAGCACAGGCTCCGGACGCGCAGGCTCAGCGGCCATGGCTCACGGGCCCAGCCGCTCCGTGGCATGTGGGATCTTCCCGGACCGGGGCACGAACCCGTGTCCCCTGCATCGGCAGGTGGACCCCCAGCCGCTGTGCCACCAGGGAAGCCCTCTATTGCTCATTTTAATAAGCTGGGGTTAACCTCTCAGATTCTCACCTCCTCGTCTGTTTCCACCTTCTCGGTGCAGTGCTCTTGGTGATTTCTAGCCATAAACAAAATATGTAAGCTGGGCTGTGTAGTGTTGGTCATCCTCTCGTGCATGGATTGTTTGCTTTTGGGGCTTCCAGTGTTGACTTCAGACAATTCACCCAAAGTCCAAGGTCTAGACCCTGGGGTCTAGCTCTGGAATCTGAGAATTATCATTTGTTTTTAGTAATATTATTGTTTGATGGACAGAAAGGCTGCTTCTTTCATCTCCATTGTATCAGTGTAAGGGAGTCTCTCAAAGTATACGTATGTTTGACATTATCTATCCTTCCTGCCTCTCTATAGACAACCAGCCGTCACCATCAAGAAACCACAGGACGACAACTACACACACATATGCTCCTTACCGTGTGTTCGGAATCTCGGCTGTGGTGGCAGCCAACAAAATGACATTCACTTGTGGAGGCACACTTTTTGGTGATCGATGTACTCCTTCCATGACTGGTAAAGTGATGTACTGTCAAACAGTACTGTGTATCTAGGCAGAAAAAAGCAACTTATTTTTTTTGCAGTGTAAAAAGCAACCTTTCAACAGTCACTTCAGAAATGACTAAAATTCAGGATGATCCTTACGTTTCTAGGCGGTATTGCTGAACAGGCATTAGCATCTGAAGCACATGTCTATTTTTAAAATGAATATAAATGGGCACTTATTCTTTGGTGCCAGGTAAAGCTGAGAAAAAATTGGACAAGCTTTTCATCAAAACCATAGGTCCAAGAAGTAGGGGATATGGGGACATATGTATGCATAAACTATTGTGAAGCAATTATACTCCAATAAAGGAGTATAACTCCAAAAAAATAGGTCTGCTCATTTCCTAAGAAAGTGTCAAGTGGAAGGTAAGACGCTGACGTAGGCAGTTTTCCAGGGTTTGTGCTCTTCACCAGCACACTATCGTGCCTCTTAGTACACGCAGCGTTGAACTGGGCGTGAGCAGAGCGCTCTACAAGAGCAGCTGACTGGGACTCTGAAGGACAGGGAACCACTACATGTTCTGGAAGGCATTCTCATTTGTACTCCAGACAAAGAAGAATTGAGAACTGGTAGCTGCCTGTGTTCCTAGAGACCGTCACACATGCTAAAGCAGCCCTACAAAGTCAGAGTTAAACGCCGGGGTAAATAAAATAAGAAATGTCATTCTTGTCATATCCTGTTACCTAGAGAACCTCTTTTAACAACCCTGGCAGACCACAGAAGCAGAGCTATAAAGTGAAAAGGAAACCTGAGATGACAAAGAATAGCCACAGGCCTGTGTGCCCCAAGAAATGGTTGACTATCACCCCCTCAATAATGACAAGGTGAAAAGTGAGCAATTACAGCCTCAGAATTCCAGATGGTTAGTATTTTGGGGGCTTGGCTGGTGTACAATCAAGAATGTACTGTTACGCACGCTGGAATGCGGGGGGCATTCCGAGTCCATCTCTCTATGAGTCAGGCTTTCCCTGACATTTTCTTGTTGGCGAAAAGCTGCAGCATCCCCCTTTTGCTCCCATGTTTCAACAGAGATGAAATTCTAAAACCCAGAAATTTCCATGCATGTTCCCATTAAAAGTGGCTTCGATTAATGAGAGACAAATTGGAACGTGCACAGACCTAGTAGGAACAGCATTTGGTAAAATCCAAAAGAATAATGCCAGCCATAAAGATGAGGATAAGAAAAGTGCCAGACAGTGTCCATAAAGAGGCTGGACATCAATGCCCCAATCGACCACTGTTCCGAACCCTTCCCATCCACTTCTTGGGAGAATTTAAAGCAAATGGTTAAAGAATGATACCCACCCTCTGACACAAGCTAGTTAAAGAGAGGCATCTGCCAGCCTCAGAAACATTGAAATTAATGTAGAAACAAATCCCCAAAAGCATACATGCGCTCACAAGCACAGTTCAGTCAACCACTCTGCAGAACTGTAAAATAACCGCAAGAAAAAAATATTTTGATAATTATTCTTGGAAAGAAATAATGAAAAATACTGTCCATGTAAATGTCACAGCCATCTGTGCTAATTTACAGCGTGAGATTCTCAGGCCCAGTAGAGGTCTCCAGTGTATATACTATTCCTTGGTTCCACAGTTTGGCATCATCTGGAAGAGGTAAGGCTATTATTCCACTGCCATAATGTGATACAGAAATTTCCAAAAGATTCAAGGTAATAGTAGACCCAAACTGGTAATCTCTAAGGCTGGAAGAGTTTTGTTTTTGTTGGCTTTTTACATCTGAAAACCTAAGAAAACAGTGCATCCTATAATCCAAATAGCCTGATCTCCTTATTCTAAGTAGAGCTTTTCAATTACAGATCATCCATCAGCACATCCTGTCTGCTTTACCTCCAAGTTTAGTCCAAGTCATCATCTTCTCCTGCCCCAAAACAATGAAAGACCCCATCTGGTGTCCCCTTCTTCTCTTGTGCCCAACCATCCATTCTGCACTCAGCAGCCAGAGAAATATTTTGAACACACCTAGCATCTTGTACTCCACGGCTTAAACACCCTACTCCCTTCCCATCACGTTTACAATGAAATCCAAACTTCTTCTTATCAGAACAAATAAGATGCTGCACATCCCAGTCCTTAAATCTCGATCAGATCCTTTCTCCATCTCCTACTACACCTCACCAGCCATCCTTCTTCCTGTTCACAGAGGAAGCCAAATCTTGCCTTTGCACCTGCTGTTCCCTCTTCCTGGCATGCTCTTCCTGCAGATGTCCACGCAGCTGACTTGTTTTGGTCATTTGGTTCTCAGTTCAAATGTATATTCCTCAGAGAAGATTTCCCGACTACCTAGTCAAAGGCATCCCTTCATTCTGTCAATATTTACTGAGCACCTAATATGGTCTAGGCACTGGATTAGGCACTGGGGATCTACCAGGGAACTAAACAAACTAAAAAGATGCTCAAATGTTCGCTGAATAAATGAATGAGTTTCTCAAGCATCAGTGTATCTCAAGAGTACAAAAACCTTCCTTTGCTTTAGCCAGTAAGTAGGACTTTTCTAGCAGTATCATCAAGCATTTCTGACATTCTTAGAATGCCCTAGTCAACACTGTGGTCTATTTGTTCTCCCTGGTAAATATTAAGAAATTCTTCCTCAAAGCCCATACAACTACAAACTGAGGCTATGCATCAGTTTCCATGTACTCTCAGAGTAGTATGATGTCTGGATAGTCTCGTCAAAAAAATCTCTGATTTCTATAGGACATCATCGGCCTGCTGGTTTGCTAATCTCATCACATAAGATGCCTCTGCTCAGGGCCAGTTAAGAGAGAGCTAAATGAGGTCTGATCACCAAAGAGTTCCAAACTCAGCACACTTACTTTGTGGGCACCATTTGTCTTCTGCCCATCGATTGCAGTTATAATTATCCCCTGCATTTTCACAGGTAAAACACTTGAAGCTGTTTGGAAATGGTGTCGCTTTAAAAAAAAAAAAATGGAAAGGGAAACAGTATGGTTAAAAATTTTTTTCAAACATCAAATATGGCATAAAGTTAGCAACTTTCACTAGATCAAATGAAAGTTACAAGTCATTATCCTTACAATTTCTGTTTCTGTGGAGCTGGGCTTAACTGCCACACTTTGGGGAATTTTCTTTATTCCCTTTTCTTTGAATATTTCATCTATGAATATCTACTACAGAATAATGCAAATGATTCTATGAGCCACTTTTAAATATCCATGGTATTGTTCTATTATAATTTATAACTTGGGGATAAGTGAGGGTTGAGTGGACAGGCAAAGATGGTGGCAATATTGGGACCAATACTTTGATATAGTATCGGCCCTGAAAAGAACTGGAGTCACATTAACCTAAGCTTGAATTCTGCGCTTCTCACTAATTAGTTGTATGATTTTTTAACCTCTAAGAAATAATGATATTTCCAATAATAGTGACAGTGAAGATCCCCATGACTTGCAGAGATAAAGATTAAACAGCAGGTTGCAAGAAAAATATCTAGTAGAGTCCCTGGCAGATCAAAAACCAGGTTGGTTTCCATCCATATGTACTTGCATTACAGCTACACTTAACTTCAAACAAGTAATCTCATTTGATATATGTCAGTTATCCCAACATTAGACCTCTTTCAGGAATGTAACATTTAATAGAAGGATGATAGTAATTCTCAGGCCCTTGTACTCAGGCAAGAGTGTTACTGAAAGGAGGAATTATGAGCCGCTAGCAGTCTGGATTGAGAAAACAACTAGTATGTTCTTTTTTTTCTTTATGCTTTCTTTTTCCTGCCTTGTATCTTGTTATTTTGTTGGGCGAGAAGTCAAAAGTACAATAAATCTGACATTTCTCTATAGGCCAGAGTATAAAGCCCTGTATGAAACTTTCAGTTCTCCTATTTTTGGAGAATGAAACAGACACAGATCAAGGTAACCCAAACCATCCCTAAGTTGGGACGATAATTAGAAAGCAGTGCATAAAACAAGAGCAAAATATCAAAAGCTGAAGTTCAGAGGACATGAAAGTAGTTCTTGCAATACATTTCAGTTTTGCCTACGCATAAAAGTGAATTAGGTAAGTAAATAAATAATGAAATCCATTTTCACCTATTAATTCAGTTTAAAAAATACTAAAACTCAGTGCTGGTAGGTAAATAGTTAATGTATAAACTGGCACAACCTTTTTGATTTAGTAATTCTAAGCATCTATTCTAAGGTCATTCGCCAACTGAAGAGGAAACTTCATTTAAAAAGATTTTCAATGAAGCGTTGACATTTAGCTTGCTTGTGAGAGTGGGCGCGTGCACTCGTGGGGGGCCAGTATAAAGCTTGGGGAAATAGTTTACTCACGTAGCCAGCTATGTGAGTAAAAACATTTTTAATGTAAGACATTAAAATACTTTCAAAGTCATGGAAAAATACTCAAAACACGATGTAAACAAAAGCTACTGCAAAATTAAATTTGTGTGACCTCCGTCACGAAGTTAAATACACATGCAGAGTAAGAACAGCAGAAGGAAACACAGTTGACCCTCGAACAACGTGCAGGTCAGGGGCGCCAGCCTGCCATGCAGTTGAAAATCCTCATGTAACTTATAGTCGGCCCTGCACATGGCCCTCTGCAGACCATGTGGTACTAGAGTATGGACAATGGGGAAAAAATCCACGTGTAAGTGGACCCAGGCAGTTCAAACCCGCGTTGTTCAAGGGTCAGCTGTATTCAAAAATGGAAAGAAGAGCTCCCTCTGAATCTTGGGATTATGAATAAATTTTGTTTTCTTCTACACATTTCCTGTCTCTCTGGAATTTTCTGTAGTAATCAAGTATTACTCTTTTCTCTTTAATAATTTTTTCTTATAAAAGGTTACAGATTTGTCAGTAATGTAGATTTTATGAAAAGTAGGTCTATGCTATGCCATTAAGCTATCAGTATATGATCACTATCAATTTAGAAGTTTGTAATAAATGATAGTTCACGATGTGTGTGGGCTATTACTCATATGTATATGGTTGTGTAGTATATACGTGCGTACACATACACCTACTAATGACTGAATGTCCTTAAAAACGAAACACAAAATGCAGAATGGTGATCATACAGGAGTATGGAGTATGAGTAGTCCTCCTTTAGGAGTATAAAGACAGTGGTTCCCAAACTTGGCTGTGTATCAACAGCATCAGGAGAACTTTTCTAAAAAGAAGAGGGGGAAAAGGGAAAAAAAGTATTCTGCATACCACCCTCCTGACTACTGAATCTCGGGAGAAGGGACCCAGGAATATGTAGTTTTAAACGCTTTTATTGCGATTCTGATACTCTTACAGATGTGGGAACCACTGGCATTCACATTTCCACGAAACAATTTTCATCTATAACAAATCCTCTGTAAAGTATATCAGAGAAGTTTTACTTGTCTGGAGAGAAAGGAGGTGAGATTATATATATATGTTCATGCTTCATTAAAAGTCTTTTTAAATGCATTTTCTCTTCAAATGGCTAATGACCTTAGAATAGATTCTTGGAATTACTAAATATATATATATTTTATATATGTATATATAGTGACTGTGCATAATATTAATGAAAATCTAAATAGTACTCCCGTCCAAATTTCAAACATGCTAATCTGTTTTCAAAATTGTTAATGGCCATTTGAAAGTATATATAATTTATGCAGAAGCTTCCTACAGTCAATATCCTTCTCCAAGGAAGAGATCAACAAAGAACACTGAATTTCTCCTGCTGAGCCATTCTTATGGACAGTGTTCAGAAGATTATTTTAAACAAGAACCCTTTTGAGACTTCAGCAGGAAGCCAAACGATTTTAAAGAAATTGAGAAATTTTCTGTCACCATGTGTTACCCTTACTCATGGAAGTAGCGAAGACTTTCTGAT